GAACAGCATCCAGATTTTCAACAATAATTCAGTAAAGCGAGTCAGTGCATCAATATGATGATTGAGAGACTTGGCACATTACGAAAAGCATCTCCATCAAACTGCATACATACATCATCAACGTGTGCCACCTACGCTCACTCGATACTAACACTGAAGAATAAGCAAGAAGGAACACTCACTGGCTGTCAGCGAACCAATCAGGAACCTACCACCCAACAAATGTACAGAGGAAGAAAGTGGAGATGGATTAGATTAGATTGAATTGGACATACACTGAGAAGGAAGACGGTTTGGGGACGTCACGCGTCAGGCCAGACTAGGTCGTCGAGTGGAACCCATGTGGGAAACGACGAGTTGGGCATCCGGGGAGATGGTGACATGGAGGAGATGGTGTGATGAAGAAATGAAGGCAAGTGGGCGATTGTGGAGTCACATTGCAAAGAATGTAGAGAAGAGAGTGAAATGGCAACGTGCTAGTGAGTCCCTTGTTCCACTAGGAACGTAAAGGACAAATGATAATAATAATAATAATATAATAACTATTCAACTTGAAGCTGACCTATCATCACATGTTCCACATCCACTGAAATAGTGTCTAGATTACTGCACTTCGAGAAAGTGATTTCAATAAAACACTCCCAATCAGACATTTGCATAAAGAAGAGGAGTGTGGATCGTCTCTTACTCTCTTAGTGACTATAATCTAACCTTGTTTCATTTTCATTTGATTGACACAATTCTTTATGTGATTATAGTGAATAATTTTTCTTTCTCACATTTCTTATGTGTGTGCAATTATTTGTGTTACATGTTATATGGATTGTGAATGATTTTGTTCCGCGACTTAAGACTGTTGATATTCTAGTGCTTGAGTGGTGATTCGTGTAGTTTCAATGAGAAGTATTGACCAGTGGAGGTAGTCAATTCGAACATGAGAACATCGACTTAAAGATGGTTTTAGATGGAGGTCATGATATATCGTGAACTGATGGAAGTAGGAAATATAGACCATTGAATGCTGACCCAATGGATTAATAAAACTTGGTGTTCACAGAACCTGGAAGTCGTGAGATCGACCTCTGGTTGGGTTGTGTGTGTGTACATCTGAGGAGTCTCATACTGGAATGAACCAGCTGTCCAGTGTTCTCAGACTCCCAATGGTTTTCCAATTCACGTCATTCTACGAACAGTACCAACTTGAAATCTATTCAAATTTCTTAACCAAATGAAATGTTTGATACTTGACTGTTGGCAATTAGTTCTCTTCATAAAGTTCGTCAAAACAATAAGACGTAGAACCGTCTGGACCGTGTATTGTATTTGAGCGCCACAGTTCGAACAATCTGATCATTTAGGCACACTTTGTATAGGTATCCTTTTGAAATTTATGAAGATGAGGGTTGAGAAAATGAAATCAGGTCAAGTATGAAGTCTGAGTTAAGAGTCAGATAACAAAGAAAATCAATAGAATGAAAATAATAGTACATCGAACTTGGTTTTCAATAGTTGAATTTACCATAGGAGATTTAATGTGGTAGCATATTGTTTATGAACACACAAATGTGCTTTAAACCTCCTACTAGCTAATACCTCAACAAATTCAAGGATCCTTCCCTAACACATTTTGTGAATAGGTCTGAAGACAGTAGCCACGTCAACCTTGTGACCTGTCTCATCGATATGTCTCGCGATACAAGAACTTGGACATCTCTTACCAACCTTTTAAGTTCAAATGATTCATTTTGTTTCTGAAGTCACTTTGAAATATGCTTTTGGGCTGTTACTTGCATGGATCTATGACTTCTTCTTATGTATGTGTCACTACACATAAATTTGAATTGTTAGATTCAAAGGGTTGTAACATTGTCATTCACATGTTGCTTGGGTTCGGTAGAAAATACAAGCTTGTCGTTGTCTGTTAGTCGGACTCTAGGTGTATAGTAAGTTCTTCTAACAGTGGCGAAAATTCTTTGTTTAAGGATTGCTGTATGAGAGTCACCTTTTCATGGGAGATTGGTGAAGACATCTTTCTTCAGGACAACGTGAAAACAGGTGTTGGCGCTCTGCCTACTTTGTGCTGACCAATACATTTTGATGGCTAGTTATTTTTCAACAATCTCTCTTCTCTCGTCTTCCAAGGTGTCATTTGTGCATGTTTGTTAAATCCTGTTGAATAAGCATCTAACTTAGGCTTGCTTATACTGAACTGGACAAAAGCTATGATAACGCAAGTATTACCCTTTCCATGTATGTTTTCTGTAGACAGATTGTTTTATGAATCCATCCTGGTGTTGGCTAACTTAGATATCGAAGAAAGGCAGACGATCATCGTCCTGTTCTACATATGTGAAGAATATGATTTTCATAACACGGCTGAGTCGGTCTAGAATTGAAGTGAACAGACTTGAGTTACGGCATATTATTATGATATTATCGACGTATCTTCGATATAGACAAGGTTTTTCAACTAAGCTTTGTGCTTAATGTTTTGCATGTGATGTCTGCTTAAAGAGGTTTCAAGTGACTTCGTATGGCAACGTCATCAGCCTGACGGAAATGCTCACTCTGGAATGGAAATTTTCGTGTTGTTTGTATATAAAAGTATTAGCTTTTTAAGTGACCCAAAATAATGGGTATTAAAAAATTATGCACAGAAATATAATCGCATAAAATGTCAATCGTTTTGACTAAAGGGAGATTGTAGAATAGTGAGTTAACGTCAAATGAACATATAACGTTTTTTACTTTTAAAGTTGACATCATCAATGCATTCAATGTATCTTTTGAGGAATACTTTCAGAATCTCTTCGTAATGGGATCCGATGGTTCCACTATCCACTGGAAGGTTTATATGTCGCTTAGTCATCAGGTTAAGTAAGTGCAGAGCGCTTCATCTATCACTCATTTTGTCATATTATTTGAATGGCTATCTACGTGTAAGGTTAGATGAATATTACTGAATATTGGACGTTCGTTGGACCGATTATGAATGTGTTTGGGGACTTCTAGCCTTCCGAAGAATGTAGTACGCAGATACTGAACATCCAAACACCTCTCATCTAGAAGAATAAACTTGGGATAAGATGGTGTCTTCAAAATCTCTTGTGATTTCTTGACATGGTTTATAAGATGAGTTGTAAGACGTTGAAACTGAAAGGAATGTTAGAAAATGATTGGATTAGAATTCACTCAGCGCTCAGGACTAGGCAACATAAAAATTGGTCACTCTCCTGTGACCCACCAATGCAAATAATTCACAGTAGTTCATTGGTAACGTCACTGACTATAGTGTTGAGTAGTGGATTCTTAAATTTTACTGGGACACAAATTCCTTCGAGGTTGTGGACACGTGTTGCTGACAGGCACAAAATCTAGGTTCGGGGATGCTTGCTGACCATCTTCATCCAACTAACCTTGATCCTAGTGGATCACTACGGTGAATTCGATCAGCGCTGCCCTCGTATTAACTTATTCTTATCGACTGAGAAAGCTAACGATCAACGAAAGGCCTATTGCATCCTCAAACTTAATTGTAAACTAACTACATTCACGTACTGTTGGTGGAAGGACTAGAATTGTTAGAAACCAGTAGGGCTGCTCTGTAGATTTCACTAGCCAGATGGGAGTGATCTTAACATCTGACGGTCATTTCGCTCGTTTGAACCTGAGCTCAATATTAGTACATATGGGAAAATAAGCTCAGTACCAAAGGAGCAAAATGGTCATCTGGTGATGAAATTACTCTGATCTGACTAGTGACACAGTACAGATCAGCCTGAGTGGTTTCTAACTCTTCTAGTTGTTCAGTAGTAGTAAGGTTCTCCACTTCATCACACTTTTGTGTCAGAGATCATTAACATGTCTTATCTGAGTGGTTTCCAGCAAAAAAGTTGTTGGTATCACAGTTGGGTAGTTGAAAAACTACCTAGCTGTGAAAAAAGATTAACGTAAACTGTGCAATCTATAAAACATTTGCCAATTGACCATTCTGCATCGTTGCTAGACTTTAGGATCAACTTCTACCATGTACAGTACTCCTCTGATTCCACGTATAACTAGAATCTGTTTCCATAATAATTGACTATGTTACGCTTCGTTTACGATCGAATCGCCTATGAACGAAAAGCAATGCGAAAGTGTTTTTCTGCTGATGTTTCACTAGTTACTATCCATTATTATTCTAAATAGTTGCAAATTAGAGTTTACTTTCATTTGACTGGTGGTAATTATCTGCGAAACTCACGCTGCTCGTTTCCTTCTGAGTTTGTGACTCATCTGTTAGCTGGATGAACCTGGATTCAACTAAAACCACAATATAGAAGAACCCAACACTTCAAACGCCTACACGTTATTTACGAGAATTTCACAGTATTAACCATTTTGTATAGATAGTTTTTTGTTTTGTAAGTGACTGAAGAATAACACCTTACATGTACAGCATAGTAAGTGTGAAGTCTTTAAATCAGTTTATGTCGTGGACTACAATAAAGGCAACATATGTCATAATATGCTAAAGTCATGAGGGAAGCAAGTCAAGTCAAACTGTTCATTATTTAATTATGCGTAAGTTCAAAGGTGGCAAATAGGTGTCAGCATATTGTCCATAGGTGTAGGTGATTCAGTGACACTTTGCACAGGTTACATACTTTTCAACATATGAAAATTTCGTGTGAAATTACCTCAGTGTGATACCATCTTGGTTGACATGACATAACTAATAGATTCTAATGTGTAGAAGTAAACAGCATCGTGTCCTACTAGTGATTGAAAACATGACAGATGACGGTGGTTTGGTGATCTTTGAGCTGGCTTCGGTTTTTTTGTCATGGACCTTTCATTATCAAACTTGTTAACATCTTCAGCATTAAATTTATGAGGATGTGAAACATATCCAATTGTTACACGACTGTTTATATAGTGTTGGCCTTGTTAAGAATCTATGAATTAAATCGTCAAGACAAAACTAAACTGACTAATGAGTCAGAATAGTGTGAATAACCCCTTACCTCTTTATACAATCCGCTTATCTGAAGTATCTCAGATTTGCACTGCATAGATATGGTAGTACATTATAAGTAGTAAGTAGGAATTAACTAAAATAATGCATCTTTCAATATCTAATGAGTTATATTCACAGAAATATATAAAACATCATTATCAATGAAGTATGTTATTTATACAATACTATCCGAGCTTTCACATATATCTGTTGGATGAAAGGTGCTACAACCACTGTTATGATTGTTAATATTTCTTAATTCATTATGATATGATATAGGACAATAAGAATGTAGCCTTTTTGAGTTTGGCAAAGAACCAGTGTTGAAGTGTGTTGTTGAAGAATCACAACGATCTCCAAAAGTAAACTGTTTTGAGTGTTGACAATTTGAATAAACTTGAATACAAGGATGAGATAATTTGAATAAATTTTGTTGATCATATTGACAAGTTTGTTTTAATTCTAAGAGGGATGATTTTAGCGGTAGATTAGAACCATTGAAGTGAAAATCATCATTACCTTGAAGTGAATTTATATTCTGATCACATTTATTGATATTTTGACCAGTAGATGATGTTGTTTTCAATGAAGATGATTGCATAGCTAACAGTCTTGCTGTAAATAGATTCCATAACGCTATGATAAGATCATTGATGATCAAGTCTCCAGCATTAATAGATATCAACCATAGAAGAAATACACCATCTAGATTAAGGTAATTATTTACAAATAATCTAACATTAATTGGATCTAATTCGTCTATATTTTGTGTTTCATATGAAGAATGCAAAAATCTACTGATAAACGTAATACGACTTTCTGGTATTGTTAAACGAAACAACCATTTCAAGAGACTATATAGCGTGAGAACACCGACAAACACAATCCAAAACCAAAGGAATATATAAACTTTCTCTAGGAATAGATTTAATGGTAGAACACATTGCAGAGTGTACCTAAAAGAGATAAAAGTAGACATAAGATTACTGTAGGAAATGCATTCATCAAAAACATATAAACGAAAGGGTTTTTTTCATTCCGTTATACTCCTAGATATATAAAATGTCTCGAAGTTAAGGTTGGAATCAGTAACTGGATAAAATGTCCGATCATTGAGTTATGGGGCTAAGAGAATCCATCTGAAGATTTTTAGAGTGTTGATAAGGATAATGGTTATGATTAGTTAGTAACGCTTCTCTTATACATTTCAGTTCAAAAGAAACCTTGGTACCCAATAATAATCCTCTACAATTTATTAAGATACTCCTAAGAACATATAAAAAACGAAATGATAACAGTAATACAGATATGAATAATAGCGGTAACATAAGCAGAATGGAGTTTGAAGCCTCTATTGTCTTGTCACATAATAAAAAAACATTAGAAAATCTACCTGAATACCACAAACCGTTATCAACCTCATTCAACAGCTATATGAAGACGCCACATGCCAAGTGATCCACAATGGAAAGCTCAGCGACGCCTTCGAAGTGAAGACAGGAGTAACACAAGGTTGTCTACTATCACCATGATCTTCCTGATTGTGGTTGACTGAATCACGCAACAAACAGTGAGGAGCGAGAAGAGGGAGATACGCTGGACCAGGGAAAAGATCCTAGAAGATTTGGATTTCCCCAACGATGATTTATATCTAATGTCGCATAAACTCGAAGATCTACGGCGAAATCCAACAGGTTGACAAAATAGGCGAGGCAGGGCAGCGAAGACGAGACTTCAAGTTAACGTAGAGAAGACAGAGGTGATGATGATACCCAAACAACGCCAGCACTAACAACTACAAGCTCGAATCACCATGAACGGGAGAAACTTAAAGAAAGTAGCCTCTTTCATCTCTCTAGGCAGCATCGTTTCAACTACAGGCAGCACAAGCACAGACGACGATGCCAAACCCAGGATTGGTAAAGCAAGACAGGTTTTCATTAGCTTGAAACCAGTGTGGAGATCTGCACCCAGCATGTGGAACAACATCCGGATTTTCAACACCAATGCCAATCAAGTCAGTGTTTCTGTACGGTTCAGAGACTTGGGGCGTCACGAAAAGCATTCCCAACAAACTACACACATTCATCAACAACTGCCACCTACACTGCCTCGTTACTGAAGATCAGATCAGATGACCAGAATGATGAAAATAAGCAACAAGAAACTCTGGGAACGAACCAAGGAAGTAAGAACCTATCACTCAACGAATATGCAGTGGAAGGAAATGTAGATGGATTGTGTATACAGTGAGAAGGCGGACTGGGGACATCACGGGTCATGCCAGGGTGTTGAGTGGAACCTGGATGGGAAGTGACGAGTTGGGCGTCCGAGGTGAGGGTGACATGGAGGAGATGGTGTGAGGAGGAAATGAGAGTTTGTGGGCAGTCTTGGAACCAGGTTGAAGAGATTTCAGAGAAGAGAGTGCATTGGAGATGTGCTGCTGAAGCCCTATGTTTTACTAGGAACCCAAGGGAGAAATAATAATGATAACAATACTGTAAAATTCGCGTAGGATGCTCGATAAGGCTGGGATTAGGATGGCATTCGAACCAGCAAACTCACTGAGAGGTAAGGTTTACTCGGTTGAGGATCCGATAGATCCAATTAGCCAAAGTAATCGAATCTATCCAATTCCATGCAATAACTGTAAGGTGAAGTACACCGGTCGGACTAGCTGGTTGGGTTCAGTTAGTTTATCAGGACATAGGAAATTTTTCCAAGCCAAACTTCACTTGATCTTTACTAGTCGTAAATTGTTCTCCATTTGTGTAAAAGAAAATATCCCTCGACAGGTCACCTTTATCAGTTCAACTGCTCCTGTGCAGTAAGGCACATCGATCGTAGTCAGAGATAGCTGTCAACACGCATACGAAAACATATTCCTGACTGGTTTTATAAGGGTGAAAGGAATACATTAGAAGTCATATCCTTGAGCTTTTGATCGATTCCAACCATTCAGCCGACTTAAACAAGGATTTTAAGCTTATCTATCGAATTCTCTAAAACATCTCACTTTTCTCTCTGTCTTCAACTTTTAAAAACATCAGAGGCTTTGGCTATCCATTAACTGAAACTAGTCCAACCTTTGTGTGCAAAAGAAGTATGTACAATTTTTGTGTCTACCTTGGCATTGGCCTGCCTTGGCCTTGGTATGCTTCGTTCCCTTTTCGTTTTTCCAACTTCCCCTTTCGTATTGTTATTTCGTTATTGACATTTTTATTTTATATTCAATAGTTTCCAGTGTCATTCCATTTAGTCTTCCTAATAATTGTAACTTTTAACAAAACATTCCCAATTAACCGGTTGCCTCATTCAGATTACCTCTAATCCTTTGGTTGTTTTTTTTTAACTCTACCATGTTTTCACCTCCTTTTTAATCTATATCCACCTTATATGCGACTTTAAAATCTTACGTAACCCTTTTAGTTATTATTATGGCTATAACCCGCATTATTGTTATTTCAACCTCCCATTATTTAAGTTAAATCATCCTCACGTATTACAATCTTTGAGAATAAATTCGTTGGGTGCTGGTTCGAATCCCAGGGTGGTTCAAATTTTCATTTCACCTTCAATTACCATTTAGTATTAGTTATGAATGTAGATCAATAATCTAGAAAGAGACTCAGCTATTGGAATACATGGATTAAAACACAACCATACAATAGAATGGTTGTGATAAAACCACTGTAATGAAGTCCAATATAATTAGGTGAATATTAAGAGAGATTGGTTTTTGAATCTTTGTTCATTGAATCAACACTCAATATATGTAACAGGAATGACGCAACATGTATACCAGATATATGAAAATGTTTACTGCTAACAGAAACAAAGAATATGAGGTGATAGGACTATAAAATGTAGATATCGAAAGTGGTATGTGATTACACTGATATGATTATGAGCAATGATAATTTCTTCTCGAAACTTCACCAAGTAAATAACTCTCTACCTTGACCTTAATTTATTTTAGTTTTGGTGGGCTTCATCCTTTTTTCATCCCCTTCCCCTTTTTTTATCAGAATAATCTTTGTACTCTTATATCGTTATTATCACTCTGTTTTTGTATTTATTTGTTTCCGGTATTATTTCATTTGATCTTCGTAATAATCGTAGCTTTTTACAAAATGTTTTCAATTTGCTCCAATTCAGTTAATGATGGATCGTGGCTGGCAGTGGAATCCAGGATGAGCATTCCGTCCTATTTGGGACTCGTCAGCCGGATGTACCTGCTTCTCAGTGAGTGATGTTGTTCCTACCGGGATTCGGACTCGTAAGCAATCGTTTCAAACGCCAGCGCGCCATCCACTACACCTACGAGCCACGACAGCCACTTCCTGTGCGACGGATATAGTTTTTAGTATAATTGTTTTTATATGATACTGTTGTTGATTGGGCTCCTGTACGGATGCCTCGATATTACCAGCAATCTAATTATGTTAATGATGGAGGCATCCGAACAGGAGCTTATATGCTAATAGATACCGATCAATTCGGTCCAATCAACGACGGTATCATATAAAAACCCTTACTCCAATTGACTTGTCTCATTTATATTACCTAATCGTTTGATTGTTTATTAACGTTCTCACCCCTTTTAATCTATATGCACTTTATACACGATTTGAAAGTCTTACGTAATCGCTTTTTGTTACAATCATCAACTATCAACATTGCAATTATCATCACCATCATTATTATTGTTTCAAGCCCCATTATTTCTGTTAAATCTTCCTCACGGATTACAGTCTTTAAATAGATCAAATAGGCAGATTTAATATAAAATCACATTCTACCACAGAGCCCAAATTTTACATGTATCAATAAATTGAGTATTTTGATAACACTATTAGAAGACGAAGATTATTTCAATAATGTGTGTATGTGTGATGTATTTGTCCAATATATTTCGAACAATCTGATCCTTCGCACATTTACTTGTCAAGTCAATGTATATATGAAAATGAAAGGTGAAATAGTAATGAATGTGAAAAGGTTGTGACAGTAGTCTTGGTAATATAATCGGATAGCCAAAAGTTACCAAGGTAAATTAAGTGAAACAACAAATTGTTTTTACACGCATGAACATTCATCGTCATCTATAGCTAAGCATATCATTGAAATGAATCACAAGGTTAATACGAAAACAGCCTTCATGATATTATGCAGGAGTAATCAGGGACGTATACTGAAGTTTGTCGAAGTGTTAGTCATTCGTAAACTAAAGTCTCCGCTGTGTGTACAAAAATAATTTATCGTTTCACTTATTTTACTTTGGTAATCTTTGGCGATCTGATTATATTACCAAGACTACTGTCACAACCTTTTCACATTCATTACTGTTTCACCTTTCATTTTCATACACATATTGACTTGGCAAGGTGAATGTGTGGGGGATCAGACTGTTTCAGTATGTATTGCGCAAATACATCACACATAGTTCAGATAATCATCGTCTTCTAATAACGTTATCAAAATTTATTAAAGGGACTAATTGTTTCAAAGTTGAGCATTTTTATTTATCGGTTCATGTAATATTCTGTTTTCATTCCGAGTCGAATTGACCGACTTCTGTTGGCAGAGGAGAGCCTATATGGACGCCTCAGTATTACCTTATTATCGATAACTTTTTCAATTATATTCTGATCAGTCTCGAAAAGGACATAGCACGCGTTCTAGATCGCCTTGTTAGTTAAAACCAAGCAAATTAAGTTACATATGCGTAGGGATGACTTCTATGAGACTGAAACGTAGAAGTTATGTCGTTTCCATCAGTCGTCTGCAGTTTTTCAAGTGACTTCTGATGCATAATTTTTCACATTTCGATTACACTAAATTTACTAATCTTCCCTTTTCCTTTCACTATTATCTACCGATTTCTGGGTTTTTTATCATGCTGATGGACATTTATGAGTTTGATCAGCGTAGTGGACTGCTTGTTCAATTATCT